CTGCAAAAAGACATCTTCATGTGCAAATAAATTTATAAAGGCGGACTTATCTAACGTTTTTTACCACATTTCTAAAAAATAACTGACGCTTCACCAAGCACGAAGCTAATGCTATCGACTAACGGGTAAAGTACCGTCGACACGCTAAAAACTCCGTCTACCTGCCGTACATTAGATTTTGGATGATAGTTTCATGCGGGCCTTTTCTAAAAACAGGGTCCCCGAACTTCAATACTCGAACATGAAATTTAGAGGACTTGAAAACTGATTTTGCTGTTATTAACCATACATGGTAGTGGATTCTGTCCGAAAAAAGTTCAGCTGCCGAAACACTCTCATCAGCAAACAGTTGCCGAAACAAAAATTTGTCAACTCCAACCTCCACGCGTTTGCGCTTGAGAAGTAAAGAGTACGAAAAGCACAATTTCGCACCCGATTACCTACACACTGCAGTAGACTATAATTACGACATTTCGGCTCTCGAGCTCGTTTGAATACGAAATTACAAAACTGTCAAAAGCAGCTTCCATGTATCTACGGCTAATAAAACTTCGTGCTTATTTAGCTTTCCAGGGTACCAAAGTATCCGGAACGATCATATGTTTTGCGAAATTCCATCCAGCGGTTGTTTAGTGATGGGAATGCTTACCACTCTCCAACTTCGTTTTTATAAAAAACGTCAAAATGTTGTTTATTTCCCAAGCCATGAATTTTCTCACTAAAAATTTAAAGTGCCCGTGCAGGAAGCCGAATTCTGTGAGACCGTGTACGACTATGGATCATATTCTGAAATTTCAGCTTGCCAACTTTTCCGATTTGTGAATTGAAAGCCCGAATAAAATTCACCCTGATCACGTATACACACACCCATGTATACACACACACACACATATGCCCATCTACACACATGGTTTCGACAATGTGCGTTTTGTACAACTGTAGCAGCACAAAACGCATTAAAACAATGAAAACTACAATCTAGAAGTTTTGTAAGAACAAATCCAAATTTCGTAAGAAAAAATCCTAAAAGAATACTCAACTGCTGTGTGCTGAAGTTTTGGTCTCAAATTAAAAAAAATAAAAAATACCTGCTGTAAAATCCAGCCCGTGGCATCACCAGCTCACGACTATCGTGATACGCATCCGCAAACGCGTCGACCACATAGTTCCTCGTTATGAGACCTGGAACAAATTATCTCATTAACTTTGTAATCTGAAACATCTGCCCAGTAGCTCACAGTGATAACGATATCACAGAAAATGCGGAAATTTCAGGTGAGACGAATTAGTGAAATGGATTTCCAGCTCTAATCACATGTGTAAGACCCAAGGTAGGGAATAGAGGAACAGTTATCCCACCAAGGGCACAAGGGGACGCAATGACGGGGCAGGAACTAAATGGGAAATTTGAACGCAAAACGAATAAAATAAAAAACTGAGTTTAAAAAAAGAGGAAGAGAGTATTAAAAATAGAAAAAATAGTTAATCATTCAACACTGAAACAGTTTACCAAATCATACAGATGAATGATTAAGCCATTTAAACTTACTGAACATTCCATACGCTCTAAGCATTGCTCCTTTACGAGCAGTAAGCAGCAAAATAAGGAATGGTGCTGAAATATAGCAAAAATTATCTCGCTGAAGATAATAGGAGCAATGCTCGCTGAAGATAATAATAATAATAATAATAATAATAATAATAATAATAATAATAATAATAATAATAAT